CACACACACAGACACTCACAAGCCAGAAATTCTAGAGGCAATAAGCATGAGAGATTAAGAGGCCAGCAAGTGGTGTGGTGGTTAAGGCGCTAGACTCCCACATGGCCAATCATGGTTCAAGTCTCACACTCGGCAGCTCGAAACGGAAGAATCTGGTATGAGAATGGAGGAGAAGGGATTGCAGCATGGCCATACACCCTCTATGTGTGTGTGTGTGGGGGGTGATTTTCATTTTCCCCTCTCACTGTCTCTCTGTCTCTCTGGCAAGTGTATGGGCCCTATAACAAAAACCTTTAAAAAAAAAAGAAAAGATATCTATTAAGTTTACCATATACCTATTCGTTTATATGTGTTAGATTATGTTATCCGAATGAGGTTGAGATTTATATAAAAAAAAATTATCCATGACTCGGGGTGGGGGACACCCACCAGGATCAAGATGGTCATGATATGGAGGAATACTAATACATTTGTTAATAGGCCATTTGGGATAAAAACAGTACTAGATCTGCTGTATATGTTCCTACAATTTTGAAATTGGGTGGTGTGAGTCTTCTACCTTTCTTGTTCAATATTATTTGGCTATTCTGGTCCTTTGGATTTCCATAAGAATTTTAGGATCTTATCCCTTTCAAAAAAGATCTGGGATTTTGAAAGGTATTGTTTAAATCTATAAATCAATTGGAGAAGAACCTTAGATTTTTGTGTTTACAATACTAAACTTAGGTCCTGCCTACTTACAAAATAATTTCCTATCTTAAAAAATACTTTGTTTACTTTCAGGGTTCTATAACTAGATTTCATATATATGCATTAAAAGGTCATTTCTGGGCCAGCCTATAGTCCAGTGGTTCAATGAATGAGATTCCACGTGGCCAGCTGTGGTTCGAATCTTGGTCCTGGTGTCCAGGCACTTGTGTGCACTTGCCAAAACCCCAATAGGACAGAGAAGTGGAGAACAAACTGTGACATGGCCATGCCCCATTGGGGCGTGCTTTCTCCTTCACTCTCTCTCTGTTTTGTCTCTCTCTAGTGAAGGCATGTATCCTCTGGCATTTAGAAAAAGATAGTTTGGGGCTACCTGCCAGTGGCATGAGAGTTTAGGTGGCTGGATCACACATAGCTCACTATGAAGTTTGAGTCCCAGACCCAGCAGTTTGTAAAAAACACTGGGCATGTATGCAGGCAGGCCCAAAATTCCTGAAAGGAGAAGAGAAGGGATAGTGACTTGACCATCCCCCATAGGGAGTACCGTCTCACCTTCTCTCTCCAGTGAGTACACATGCTCTCTAGCAATTTTTAAAAAATTGATCATTTCTTATAGTGTGCTACTGTTAAACTGAACATGTATAAAATATGAAGTAATTACATGTTTTTCTTTTGGTTTTTGATATAGAGTATGTGCACTCACCAGAAAGACAAAGAGACAGAAGGTGAGAAATCGCCCCCACCAGGGGTGAGGGCCACATACCGCAGTCCCTTCTCCTCCATTCTCCTCTTGGGATCTTGGGCACGCACGCACATGCGCCTGGCACGAGTTTAAGCCACCGGGTCCAGGACTCAAACCTCAGTTGACTATATGGGAGTCCAGCGACATAGCCATTACGCTATCTGCTGGTCCCTATGTAATTACTTTTTGTGTTGTTAAAAACACAGTATAGTGGGCCAGCAGGTGGCGTGGTGGTTAAGGGCGCTGGACTCCCACACAATTGACCACAGTTCGAGTCTAGGACATGGCAGCTTGCTTTCTCACTTTCCTTTACTTTCTCTCTCTTGCTCTGTTCCTCTCTGCTCAGATTAAAATAAGTAATAAATAAAGTTAAATAAAATAATTCTTTAAAAAAAGAAAAGAAAGAAAGAAAAACACAATATAGTGTAGGCTGAGTGCCACTATAGCGAAAATCTCTGTATACAGAGAACTTATCCTAAGGAGGAGTGCCAGGAGAGTACCAAACCATATCAGAGCTGCATAAAATAGAGCAAAATTCTGTATTGCAGAGTAATATCTGTAGGTCCTTGGGAATTTTGTTCCTTTTTAACCTGTTTTTTTTTTTTTTTCTGCCTGGGGTCTGAGGTTCCATTTGCATTTGTAAGCATTAGCAAAAGTTTATGTATTAACTTATATATGAATAATGACTCTTAAGGAATGTGGATGAAGATTACAAAAGTACACATCTTAGATTTTTATGTTTTAGATTCTATTGGCCTCTCACCTCAGGTAAATCAAGCTATTTAACACATACATTACCTCACATACTTAGCCATTGCTTTGTAGTAGTAGCTTCTATGATTTTTTTTTTTTAAGAATTAATTTTATTTATTTATTTTAATTTGACCAGAGAGGGACAGACTGAGAGGGAAAAAGAAAGTAAGAAAGCAAGCTGCCAGACCCAGGACATGAACCATGATCAGCCATGTGGGAGTCCAGGGCCCCCAGCCACCACATCACCTGCCGGGCCCACTTGTATGGTTTTAAGTCAGTGGACATCATAATGCAGTAGTTCTTGCCTTTGGCTGCTCTGTGCTAGAATCCTCACAGACTTTTTAGGTTTTTGCCATAGGGTACATGCTCTCATTGGAGAAAGGTGGAGAGAGGGAAAGGGAAATCAGCCCCCAGGGGTGATGGCCACACTGTAGTCCCCTCTCCAACATTCTCCTCTCAGGATTTGGGGCATGCACACACACGTGTCCGGTGTGATTTTCAAGTCTCCAGGTCCAGGACTCCAGTCGTGGTTGACCACGTGGGAATCCAGCACCTTAACCACCAGACCCTCTGCTGGCCCTCCCATACAGAGCTTCTGAATAATTTAGATGCCTCATGCTGCTCAGCAGACTGATTAAACCAGAATTTCTGGGGGTAGGGCTTGGATGTCAGGGTTTTTTAAAGCTCTTCTGGTGAATCCACTGTGAATCCAACATTTATAACCCCTGTTATAGACCATTGAAAGTATAAATGAGACCGAGCTCAGGAAAATAATGATCCTGAAATGGCGATCAGAGGCATTCTAGAATGATCAGAATATACTGATAGGGACTTCCTTTATCTGCGAACCAGTAATAGATCTGTCAGTCACCACAACTTGAAAATTTGGTACTAACAGGATAGATAAGCATTTGTTTACGGAGTAAAGTTTACTGCTAAAGAAATTGCTTGTAAGCGATCAGTTTATGAAAAGAACCACTGAAGCACTAGGAACCTGTGTGTTCTGGTATCAGTTCTACTCTATAACTTTTAATGTAAATGTGCTTAAATTGTGCTTATAAAGTGAGGCTATTGGAATGGAGTTGATCACCAGATTGTTTATTCCACAAATTGCATTTCCCACGGTGTTCAGGCAAGGATGTTGGGATGAACAGAGCATACACCATGCCCTGGGGAAGCCTGTGGAAGGCAGATGCACATACACAGTGTGTAAGTGTAGGTAGACTGCAGTGTTCAGGGAAGTAGGGACACACAGAAGTACGTCACTTAATTGCAGTATTGGAACAAACACTGTTTAGCAGCCTTTCACAATGACTGCTTTCCTAGCCACCCTTGGAGCTGGGGCATCAACATGGGACCCATTACTGACCAGGTAGACCAAAGGAGGCCACTGGGCAGCTTTCCCAATAAAAGTTAACAATTTAAGGAAAAAATACCATTGGGGCCAGCAGGTGGCATGGTGGTTAAAGCTGTGGGCTACTGCTGACTGCAGTTGGAGTCCTGGACCTGGTAACTTGACAATCACGCCAGGTACATGTGCATGTGTGCCTAAAATCCCAGAAGGAGAATGGAGAAGTCCACTTAGTCGCACATAACTGAGAGTTTCTTGACAGAAAAGAATGATTGGTGTTTCTTTAAATCTAAACATAGGCCTTTCTAGATAATTTGACTTAGAATTTTTACTTGTTGGAGAGAAATCAGAGGCAGACTTGGTAACCCAGTCCTTACTGGGTGTGAGTACATCTGATTTGGCCAACTACTGTTACAGTTGTGATCATTTTCCACTCTCTTCATATTGAAGTCTTATTTTGAACTAATAGTCATAAACCTGCTGATTTTCACATAACAAAAACTAGGTTTCTCAAGTAATTATCTTATGAACAAGTAACTTTGTTTGTGTCCGTTGAGGCTTAAAGGAATAGTGATCAAAAGTCTTAGAATACTATTCAGGACATTTAGACATTTCTTTGCAATTAGAACTTGAATTTATAAAATCATACTTTCCTCTGTGATCCCCCAGTTGGCTGGTCCCATTTGGGACCAGCAGATGGCGTAATGGTTGCATTCCTGGACTCCCACATAGTTGACTGCAATTCGGGTCTCAGGCCCAGTGACTTGAAACTCACACCAGGCACATATGTTGCATGCCCAAGATCCTGAGAGGAGAAGGGATTGTGGCTTGTCTATCTCCACTGGGGGGTGATTTCTTACTTCCTGTCTCTCTGTCTCTGTCTCTCTATCTCTGTCTTTCCAGTGAGTGCATGTGCCCTATAACTAAAATCTCTCTAAAAAGAAAAATAATAATTAATGAGCTTTTTAATCTCTTAAAGTTTTATGTTTTTGTTTATTCATATCTTATTTAATTTATTATTATTATTATTATTTTTAATTTGACCAGAGAGGGGGGAGGGGGAGTAAGAAAGCAAGCCACCGGGTCTGAAACTTGAACTGCAATCAGCCATGTAGGAGTCTAGTGCCTTAACCGCCATGCCATCTGTTGGCCCCACTTTCCATCATTTATTGATTGATTCAGTAGAGTGACTCAAAATTACTTCAAAATAGAGCCTACGTATTTTTTTGTCTCACTGATGGGAAAATTTCTCAGTTGAGTTTTTCCTTTCCAATTTGTACAGCCAAAAAACATTGCCCTGGAAACTTATAAATCCATATTGAAGATGAAACCAAATTTTTACTGATAATTATCTTGACCTTTTCCTTTAGCTTCTTGTTAGGAGGATGAAATGGAAATGGGTTAAAAACAGTAGTAGTGGAATTAACAAACTGCTTTATTTTACAGGGAAAATATTTATCCCCAAACAGAAACCTGTACAGACTTTTACAGAAGAAAAAGTATCTCTTGATCCAGAATTGGAAGAAGCTTTGACGAGTGCTTCTGACACAGAATTGTGTGATCTCGCAGGTACGTGCTAAAACAATTCATTTGTGAATGCGACGAGGTAAGACCAGCACACAGCTGTATGTATTACACAGCCGCTTGCTCAGCCTTCCATGCTGCTGAATTAGTAGTACATCTAGAATTTGTATTTCATGTGGTGAATACGATGTACAGGATTTCATTTCTTCACTCTAACTAGTGACGTTTTTATATTAGTGAATTTATTGTATTATTTGATATCTTCCCCCGTGTCACCATGTGAATTTATTGTATTATTTGATATCTTCCCCTTATCACCACGTCTGGAAGTCTTTCTACAAATCATCAGCTGGTGCTCAGCTAGTACTGTCCCCCCTGAGCCCTGGAAACGTCTTCAAGGTCAGCTGCTGCCCCATTTTATTAAGAGATCCAGATGGGTAGCTGGAAGGCAGGCAGTGTGGCGCTATTCGATATATCACCACTAATCCAGTTCTCCTAAAGCGTGTGTCAAACACCCCGAACCTCCCCGTTACTGTCCTCATCGCTGATTTCTTATTTGGGCCAGTATCTCTCCCATCTGCCCTAATACACGCCCGTTTTCCTAGATAGAAGAATGTGGTGTATGTGATCCTTGTAGAAAATAGCCCCGAGAGCGACATGTTGGGACGTATCCGTGACGGGTCTTTGGGAAGGCCCTCGGAAGGAGACAAGTCATGATGCAGTGCCACAGGCTGAGCTGGTCCTGTGACTAGGACCAGCAGAAACTGAGCTTTGCCGTTTTCTCTCCCAGCCACCAGGTGGAGCGCAGCGTAGATTCCATTTCCAGTTACACTGGCTCCAGCTGTGTGTCTAAATTCAGAAATGGGCGGGGAGATACCGAGGGTATTGATGAAAAAGCAACTGTAGGTGATTTTTAATCACTTTGCTTCTGGGTTTTTTGTTTGTTTTTGTTTTGTTTTGTTTTGTTTTTAGGTTTGTGTTATAAAATCTTTATTTAATTGATAGGAAAGTATCCAGAGAATGTTAAAATTATTGATAGAAATTTTGTTGTAAAATTAATTTTTTATGTTTGAGACAGATGGAAATTTAAAATAACTTACCTCTTCTCTATTTGTAGCTATCCTTGGTATGCACAATTTGATAACGAATACACAGTTCTGTAACATAGTGGGAAGTAGTAATGGTGTGGACCAAGAACATTTTTCAAGTGAGTACTTAAAATTCTTTGTGAATTCCAATCTTTTGTTAAATGTATTTTGTTTTTGTTTTCAGGTTTTTGCAGCATGTGCATTAGCTGGAGAGAGAGAGAGAGAGAGAGAGGGGGAAAGTTAGAAATCACCCCCTAGGCGAGATGACCACACTGCAGTCTCTTCTCCATTCTCCTCCTGGAAATTCAGGCGTGCACATACATGCGGGAATTTCAAGCTGCTATTTCTGGAACTCAAACCCTGGTCAGCCATGTGGGAATCCAGTGCCTTAACCACCACACCACCGGCTGTCCCCTTGTTAAATACGTTTTGTTTCCTTCATGTATCACCTTCAGTATTTAGAAACAAAATGTTCTATGTAATACTTAAACCTGAAATCCCAATTTGATGGTATTGACAGAGAAGGCCACTGGAAATAGAATACTAAATATTTTATAATGAATGTATTAGCAAATGTGGTAGGAACCACTCTCAGCTCACTAAGTAATACTAATGGTAAATAGTATAAAAACTAGTTAAACTTATTTTTTGCTGACATTTTCTTACTAGTATTACTGATTTTCAAGAAATCTACAAAAAAAAAAAATCTTGACAAAGAAAACTACATAATAAAATCACATTCAGAAGAAACCAAACAACTGTTTAGCCTGTAAACCTTTCAGTCTGATGGAAAGTATTAAATAGCCTAAAGCCACACATTCTGAAAATAGGGGTATTTTAAAAGTACCTGGGTAGTACATACTTTTGTAGCATATTTAAACAGTATATAAAGAAGGGCCCAGCAGATGGCATAATGGTTAATGTCACTGGACTCCCCTGTATTTGACCCGGTGGCTTAAAACCATGCCTGGTGCATGTGCTCGCATGCCCAAAATCCTGAGAGGAGAATGGAGGATAGGGGATTGCAGTGTGGCCATCCCTCCTATGGGGTGATTTCTTGCTTTCTGTCTGTGTGTCTGTCTCTGTCTCTCTGGTGAGCACACACACCCTGTAGCAAAAATTCTCTCTAATAAAAAAAAAAATACATAAATAAATAAAACCATCTGTGTTCACACCCATCATGCCCTCTACTCCCTCTGCCTCCACTCTTAACAATTTGGCATATATTCTTCTAGGCTATGTACTGTGTTTTATACACAATATATATATAGAGAGAGGACTACAAAAAGTTCATGACAAAATTAGTTTGAGTTTATTTTGGTTCCAAAAAAATTGGAAACACTGACATAGTTTTTTAATAATATACAATTTCAGGACCAGCAGATGGCATAATGGTTATGTCACTGGACTCCCACCCAAATGACTGACTGCAGTTCAAGTTCCAGGCCTAGAGGCTTGAAACTACATGTGTGTGTATAATTTCCATAAACTTTTTGAAGACCCCACATGTATATGTACCTGTTATACGCATATATATATATATATACACACACACACATAGTCTTGATTCATACAAAAATGAGATTGTACTATAAATACTTCTTGCAAGTTAATTTTTCAATAATCTAATTTTTGTAATGCTTTCTATGGACTGTTCTGTGCACAGGTCTTGAATGTGATCATTCATATTTAATTCTCTAAACAGTTCCGTGAAATGGGCATTGCTTTTTTTTAGATTTTTGCCCTAGGGTATGTGCACTCACCAGAGAGAGAAAGTGCGAAATCACCCCGCCCTGGGGGGATGGCCATGCCACAGTCCTTTCTCCTCCATCCTCCTCTGGGAACTTTATGCACATGCACCTGGTGTGTTTTTTTAAGCTGCTGGTTCAGTACTTGAACTGTGGAGTTGGCCATGTAGTGTTGTAATCTAAGCAGCAAGAAATAGGAGGACATCTATTAATAGCCAAATTATAGGAGTCTTTATTTTAAAAAGTCCGCAACTGCGGGAGGATTCACATCTCTCAGAGACTCCACGGCAGGAAAGGGGTGCTTATAAAGGTAAGAATCAATCTGTTCTGGGTTAAAGTAGCAATTACAATGGAAAATGAGGAGGGGCGGAGAGGAAAGGGAGTGGGGACTCCTATGTGAAAGCAATTACAGAAGCCAGATCAAGCACATTAAAAAATTCTTTAAAAAAAAAAAAAGAATTATTTTATTTGGGGCCAGCAAGTAGCGTGGTGGTTAGGGGCGCTGGACTCCCACATGGCCGACCACAGTTCGGATCCCGGACCTGGTGGCTTGCTTTCTCACTTTCTCTCTTTCTCTGTCCCTCTCTGGTCAAAATTAAAATAAAGAAATAAAAGTTTAAAAATAAAATTAATTCTTTTTAAAAAACTGTTTAGGGGGGCCAGTAGGTGGCATAGTGGTTAAGGGGCCAGACACTCCCACATGGCCAACTGTGATTCCAGTCTCTGACTTGGTGTCTTTCTCTCTCTAGTGGTCTCTCTGGTCAATGGAAAACTAAATGAATGAATGAATAGAGTTAAATAATTTAAAAATAAATTTTAAAAAAGAATTATTTTATTTAACTTTATTTATTTATTTTAATTTGACCAAAGAGGGACAATGAAGGAAAGTGAGCAGGCAAGCTGCCGGGTCTGGGACTCAAACCAAACCATGGCCAGCTGTGTGGGATTCCTGCACCCTCAACCACCATGCCACCTGCCAGCCCCCTAGATTAATAATTTCTTTCTTTTAAAAAAATTATTTAATTAATTAATTTTATTTGTTGTTGTTATTTTTTAATTTGATGGGAGAGAGAGAGTGAGAGAGCAAACTGCCAGGTCTGAGACTTGAACCTTGATCAGCCTTGTGGGAGTCCAGCACCTTAACCACCACACCACCTATTGGCCACCAACAGATTAATAATGTCTAAGGGTAATTTCCAGACCTTTGCCTAAACACAGTGGCTTTATGGCTTAGGGCAAGGGATCTGGTGTTTGGTGATTACGCTAAGGAAAGGCTATTTATCAAAAACAGTAAGAATGTTAATCACTCTGATTTCACTCAAGGCGAAAAGGAGAAAGCGAGTATCTAATGTGAAGAAGGAACATAAAGTTCAAAAATGGCAGTGCTTCTGCTTCAGTAGGCTCTAACATCCTACCCACCTCACCACGTGCGACCCCAAGATGGGTATTACTATTGGGTTATAGGAAAAAGCGTGTCGTATTTTTCTATGCAGAAATGCATCATGGCTTCTCTGATGACCCGGTATTATCTTTAATTTGCATGTGAGGACACTGATGTTTTACTGTAGAATGATTAAATGACTAGTCTCAGGACCACACAGTCAGTAGTAAGGATTTTAACCCATGCCACACAGAGTGTCACGGAGCGATGTGTCACGTTTCCTGTTAGGACATGCAGAGCTCCCTCATTCAGACATCTGCGTACCGTTCTCTTTTATCACGTTATCTACTTTGACTAGCCTCTCTCACTTTCAGTTTGTCATTGTAGAAATGCTCAAACATGTAAAAGAAGAAAAATAACATACCATACCCCAGGTCCAACCTTCTAATTTCTCCAACCTTGTTTCATCCATCTTTCGCCTTTCTCACCACCTTTCCATTTTTTCTTCTGAAATATCTTAAAACAAGTCCTATTCATTTGTATGAATTCATCCATAAATGTTTCCACACGTATCTGTCACAAATAAAGGCTTTTCTTTTTAATATAACCACAATGACTTAATTAACCTTAAAAATGAGTAGTGATTTCTTCATATCTAATACCCAGTCCAAGTCCAGTTTCCCTTATTCTCTCAAAAACGTCATTTCAGCCTTGGTTTATAAAGGAATCGACATAAAGTTCACACATGCATTTGGATATTCATTTTTTTATCTCTTAATTTTTTAACAGCTCTCCTCAACCGTTTCTACCTTCTTCCATTTATTTCTATAAGAAGCTACATTATTTGTAACAGAATTTTCCACATTCTGGATCTGACTGATTGCGACTTTGTGGTGTCATCTTAGTGTTTTCTTGCTACTGTGTTTCTGTAAACTGTTCATTCTAGTGATTTGATCAGATTCAGATGCAGGCTCTTGTTTTTCCCCAAATGCTCCTGAGATGGTGATTGGGATCGCATTAAGATGCGTATCTAACCTAATTCTTCCCCTTGGGGGGAACGTGTTAGCATTGATCTGTGGGTTATAATGATGGCAGCTGACCCCTCCATTCCAAGTTCCCCATGAACCTTTTACCTAATGGTTTCCGCATGTCATTGACTGGAGCCATTGTTTTGTTAAGGGACAAAGCTCAGTTAAATTTAACCACACACCTTCTGTGGAGTGGGGAAAGAAATCTCTTGGTTTTGCAAAATTTAGAACTCAGTAGTTTTCCATTCAGTGAGGCAGCTCTTCCCTAGGTTCCTCAGTGTGTTCTTTTGAGGAACACTGCCTGGCTGAGCTGAGGTGAGAGGGACCCCACTCTTCCCTGGGTAGCAGACCTCTGTCAGAAAGCTTGTCCTTGTATTTGTGGCAGAGACTGGCTAGGCAGTTGGGCATTAGGGGAGCCATAATGGAATGCTGACAAAAAGGGTCACTTAAGGCCTGCCGGCTGAGTCTTGCTCTTCACAAACTTACTTTTCCTTTTTCCTAACCCTTACTCTTCCAGGACAAACCGTTACAGCTCTCCCTACAGGACACACAAAAGAACAGTTAGATTCATAGTCCAGGACCGGGTGATTTCTTAACTCTGGAATCTTTTGGGAAACCCACCTGGGCCTGATGGAAACTAGGAAATAAGCCCAAAATACACATAGACTAGCTCCAGGGAAAATTACTGGCTCCAGGGAACCAAAATTGCATTCATACCACAAGCCTAAATAACATAAAATCTTTGTGACTATTAACCAATACTTCCTAATTAAAAAAAAAAAAAGAAAGCCTTATCAAGTGTAAGGTTGTTTCAAATGAAGGGCTACTCATTCGAGAGCTCTCTGTTGAGGTTTTTTTTTTTTTTTTTTTTTTTTTGAGAGGTTTTTTGCTACAGGGTGCATGCACTCCCCAGAGAGACAGAAAAGTGAGAAATCACCCCCCGGGGAGGATGGCCACACCACAATCCCTTCTCCATCCTCCTCTCAGGATCCTGGGCACACACGCACACATGCCCGGCATGAGTTTAAGCCACCAGATCCGGGACTCAAACTGTAGTTGACTACATGGGAGTCCAGCGACATAGCCCATTATACCAACGGTTGGTCCCTCTGTTGAGTTTTAAAATGGAGACAGAACAGCTCAGCAGCTGCACAGAAATGTCTTACAGCAGTGACTTAATGATTGACATAAAACAAAGGCTTTTTTCCTGGTCCCACCACATTCCAGGAAGAAGGTAATGGTTTCATGGCCCAAAGCTTTTAGGCAGTGTCCTGACCTTTGTACCCACTCCAAAATTAAGGAAAAATAATCAGACCCATCTGGCATGTTACCCCACCACGAGGGAAACACATGCTCAAGAATCCCAAACAAAGCCTCTCTGACCAAAATAAAGCCCCCTCCCCTCATTTCCTCTTTGGCAACCCATTCAGGACCCGCTCTCTGCTCGAGAGAGCTGCCTTCCTTTCCTCTCCTAATAAGCCTCTGCTTGCTTACCTACATCCGCGTCTGTAGTTCTTTGTGAGCCGCAGATAAGAACCTGCGTCCTGCTGCAGGTGCAGGCCTGATTACCCCTGCTCCTACCAGTGCCACATCGAACCAAATTCTGTCTCTCGGCAGTCTATACTATCCTAACCCAAGTCTTTCTGAGCAAGAGAATTTGACACTTCTTCTATAGGATAAATCGGCAAACAACTAGAGTACCATCTTGTATATATATTTTCTGAGACTAAATATATCCAGATCTTTCCCACTGTTTCAGGAAAATCATTCTCAAACCTTCTTTGAAGTTGACCTCCTCGGGCTGCTCCTGCAGAAGAGAAGAACCAAGCCAGACCGTGATCTGTTGAACCCTGTCAGTCTTGCCATGGCATTTGCTCTTACTTTTTTGTGGTCACTGGCCTCTTATACACATTGTATCTTGTTAAAGGGTTCCGAGATTCTGGACCCTCTGTCTTTCAATTTTGAGGAGTTGTATTTGGTCATGCGTGTGGGTACATACGGTAAGGACTGGGAGCCAGGAGGTTTGGAACCTCAGTAGCTCTTCTGTGTACCTTCACCTCTCCCTCCCGCCACATTCCCTATTCCTACCCGTCCCTGCTTTCTAGTAGTGTTGTTCCCCCTTTTCTCGTTGCACACACAGGGACTTCAAAGAGTTCATGGAAAAAGTAGAATTTAAGTAAGAATTGATTTCATGAGAGATCAGGAGATGGTGTAGAGGGTATGGCGCTGGATTCCCACATGTCCAACTGCCGTTCGAGTCTTGGACCCAGTGACTTGAAACTCACACCGGGTGCATGTGCTTGTGTGCATGTGTGCATGTGTGCCCAAGATCCCAGGAGGAGGATGGAGGAGAAGGGATTACAGCGTGGCTATCCCTCCTAAGGGCTGATTTGTCACTTTCTGTCTCTGTGTCTCTCTCTGTCTCTCTGGTAAGCACATGTGCCCTATAGCAAAAATCTCTCTCAAAAAATTTTATTTTGTGATGAATAGTTTTCATAAACTTTTTGAAGGCCCCTTGTAGGACTCCCCTAGGAGAAAGCAGTTATATGCCTCTTAAAATAGAGACAGAAAAGCTCAGCAGCTGCATAGAAATGTCTTACAGCAGTGACTTAATGATTCATGTAAAACAGAGGCTTTTTTCCTGGTCCCACTACAATCCAGGAAGAAGGTAATGGTCTCATGGCCCAAAGCTTTTAGGCAGTGTCCTGACCTTTGTACCCACGCCAAGGTTTTCTTTAAGTATGTGTGTCTTAACTGCTTTCCTACCAGTAGATTACCAGTAAGATCTCAGAAAAAATGGTAAGAGGTGGTAGATTTCATCGTGCTATAGTGTTGAATATTGGGAGGAACACAGGGATCACCAGCCCGTGCTGTCCAATGTATTGGAGTGGTAGGGCCCGGCCACCGGGGCTCACGCTGCTAATATGCTGTTCTGCAGGCTGGGACCACACAGGAAGTCAGGGGTCTTTTCTCCATCCAGCTTGAGAGGTGAGGCAGGAGGATTGTGAGCTCCGGGCTGGCCTGGGCAATATAGGAGACCCTGTCTAAAAAAAGAATCACTCATGGTGGCACGTGCCCAGAGTCCTAGCTAGAAGGCCAAAGCAAGAGTATAGTGATACACACAGACCTTGACTTTAAAAATGAAAACAGCATGAGTGTGTTTGGGTAGTAAAAATACCTTGTGATACACAAAGAGGCAGGGAAACTATTCTTTTTATTTATTTATTTACATGTAATCAATGTACATCTTTATAGAATGTGAAATGGTTTTTCACAGCATTAATACAGTGTATATTAGTGCAGTCAAAGATGTTAATACAGTGTATATTAGTGCGGTCAAAGATGTGTACTAATATACACTGTATTAATGCTGATTCTGTATTAATGCTGATTCCCTCTCTCCAACCCCCTATTACCTACTGCCTCCTATACTCTCTCTCATATCTATAGTTGCCCTCCCTGCTTTTATACTTTCCAGTCTTTCAGTTTCTGTTGTAGCATATAGACATTCAATATATATTAAGTGGAGACATACAGGGCCTCTCTTTCATAGTCTGTCTTGCTGTCTGTCTTGCTTTGCTTAGCCTTAAATATTTCATATTCGTCCGTACTGGACCAAACGTCAGGGTCTATGTTGAGTAGGATTCCATGTGTATATAGGCCATGTTTTCCAATCCATTCATCTGCTTGGACATTTGGGCCAATTCAGTTGTGAATATTGGGTCTTAGCAATTGTGAATATTGCTGCAGTAAGCATGGATGTGCAGGTGTTTCTTCAACTGAGTATTTTTCTATCCTGTGAGTAGATTCCTAAGAGTGGAATTTCTGGGTCGTGTGGTAGTTCTACTTGTAGGTTTTTGAGAAACCTCCATATCATTCTCTGTAGAGACTACATTAATTTACATTCTCACCAATAGTGTAGAAGAGTTCCCTTTTCATTGCAGCCCTGCCAGCACTTACCATTCTTTATTTTTTTTATCTTAGCCATTCTAAATGGTATTAAGTGGTATCTCTTTGGGGGTTTATTTGCATTTTTCTTATGATAAGGGATGTTGAACACTTTTTCATATGCTTTTTTGGCCATTCATATATCTTCTTGGAGAATTGTCTGTTCGGCTTATTTGCCCATCTTTTAATTGGACTATTTGTTTATTTATTTATTTATTGCAGGTAAGCTGGTTGAGTTCCCTGTAGATTCTGGTAGAGACTACATTAATTTACATTCTCACCAATAGTGTAGAAGAGTTCCCTTTTCATTGCAGCCTTGCCAGCACTTACCATTCTTTATTTTTTTAATCTTAGCCATTCTAAATGGTATTAAGTGGTATCTCTTGTCTGAGGGACAGTTCACAGAAGTAGAGTTTTTGGCTGAGGGACAGTTCACAGACATAATCTCCCATTCTGAGGGCTTTCTCTTCACTCTAATTATTTCTTTTGCTGTGCAGAAGCTTTTTAGCCTGACATAGTCCCACTTGTTTATTTTTGGGATTATTACCTGTGCATTGAGGGTCTTATTTAAGAAGTCTTTTCCTACTCCAAGAGTTTTCCCTTTGTTTTCCACCAGCAGTTTTATAGTTTGAGGTTTTGCGTTTAGATCTTTGATCCTTTTTTTTTTTTTGAGAGGTTTTTGCTATAGGGCGCGTGTGCTCGCCTGACAGACAGAGAGAGACAGAGAGATAGAAAGCGAGAAATCACCCCCCAGAGGGGATGGCCACGCCGCAATCCCTTCTCCTCCATTCTCCTCTCGGGATCTTGGGCACGCATGCACACACACATGCCTGGCGTGAGTTTAAGCCACCGGGTCCGGGACTCGAACCGCGGTCGACTACGTGGGAGTCCAGTGACATAGCCATTACGCTAACTGCTGGTCCCAGATCTTGATCCATTTTGAGTTGATTTTTGTTAATGGTGAGAGACGAGGATCCAGTTTCATTTTCCTGCAGATGGGTATCCAGTTTTTCTAGCACCATTTTCTGACAAAATTTCCTTTTCCGCACTTGATTGTCTTGTGCCTTCTGTCAAAAATCAGTTGGCGGTTTGTTTGGGGGTTTATTGCCGATTTCTCAATTCTCTTCCATTGATCTGCCTGTCCATTTTTATTGCAGTGAGAATATTCATTTTTGAAGGCTGACACATTATAACCAAATTAAATGTTGACTATGTTGGGTGTTTACATTCAGTAAAATTTTGAGTGCTTTAAATATGTGTCAGCACATAAGGAGTCTTAGGACTTGTGGAAGAGCAACTTTTAATTCAGTTCCGCTGGATAAATGTGTGGTGGGCAGGCTAGTGGGGTCGAAAGAAGAGATGTGTTACCGCGTACATATGTGGACTCACTGGTGTAGCGTCAGCCAGTGAGACGTGCCTTTCTCGTTTGTTGCTGCAGATGTAGTGAAAGGTGAAAAGATCGTTCCCATATTTGATGAGCCACCGAATCCAACCAACGTTGAAGAGAGTTTAAAGAGAATTAAGGAAAATGATGCTCGTCTTGTTGAAGTTAATTTGAATAATATAAAGGTTAGTGTTTAAGCAAATAATAAAGCTGTTTGTATTACTTTGAGTCATTGGACCTAGAATGAAAGCCGGGCAGTTTGCTTTGTTTTGTTTAAGTGTATTTATTTTGTTTTGTTTAAGTGTATTTATTTTTATTCATGTTAGAGAACACATGTGCATGCATGCAAGAAAAAGAACAGCACCCCCAACAGGGTCCTGTCACATCATGATGCCCCTTCCCTGGTCCTCTAACCTGTCAGGATCATGCACAGGCGTGCACACAGCCAGTGCGTTTTCAAGCCAACCCGTGAATCCAAACCTGTAGTCTGCCACGTGGCTTCCAGCATTGCAGTTTAGTTTGCTACTGACTATGCCACCGGACTGGGCCAGAGCTGGGCAGTTTTGGTACAATGGTCTTATTCTTTATGTTTTAAGGTAAAGTTTTTGTTTCTAATAGTGTGCTAACCTAGGTTCTCTCATACTCCAGAAAGTAAAGTATTATACAATAGTATTTTCTGACTTACTGGGGTTTTTTTAGGTTATTTCCATAGGGTGCATGTGCTCACTGGAGAGAGACAGAGAGAGGGAAAGTGAGAAATCACCCCCTCAGAGGGAAATGGCCCTGTTATAGTCCCTTCTCCTCCATTCTTCTCATGGGATTTTGGACATGCACACTCACATGCCTGGTGTGATTTCCACACCACCAAGTCAAGGATTGGCTTCATATAAAAAGAATAGTTAAAAGCAGGTAGTGGCCAACTGTGGTTTGATGGCATGGCCAACTGTGGTTTGAATCCCAGACCCAGTAGATTGAAACTCATGCTAGGCGCATATGCATGCGTCTCCCAGAAGGAGAATGGAGAAGAAGATATTGCGGTGTGGCTATCCCCCTGGGGGATCATTTCTCACTTTTCCCTCTCACTGTCTGTCTCTCTGATGAGTACTCGTAACCTAAGGCAAAAACCTCTACCGAAAAGGAAAATCATAATAAGTAGGATAGCGAGAGTTTCTTCAACCCAAGTGCTAGAGAAATGGTGATATGTGCTCTGCCTCCGAGTCAGCAGTGTACGCAGATGCACCATGATAGAGAAGTCAAGTCAGCTTGGTGTAGGCTGTGTTATTTCTGTTTGTAGACTAACTGTTGTGTGTTTCCATATTTCTGAGTACATTTTAAAGCAAAGGTAAGTGTGTCACACGATGACATTTCAGTCAACAGTAGACCACATCTGTGATGGTGGTCCCATAGGCGCATATAAGCTGTACCCTGTAGCCTAGGTGTGTGTAAGGGTGTGACATCGAGTTTTCGTGAAAGTCCACTCTGTGATGTTTGCACAGTAACAAATCACCCAGCGACACATTTCTTAGAATGTATCCATGGTTAGGCAACACATGACTATATATTTGTTTAATGGACTGAACTTCTGAAAACTAAAATTTAATGGTGTTTATTTCACATTATTTTCTTTCAAGAATATCCCAATTCCAACCCTAAAAGATTTTGCAAAGGCTTTGGAGACCAACACCCATGTGAAATATTTCAGTTTTGCAGCCACCCGGAGCAATGACCCCGTTGCTGTTGTAAGTAAGCTAAGCTATATGTTGATATGTTGCAGTGGTGGGTCGGCTAATTTTATGAACAAAATATACTCCCTTCTTTCAGTTGGTATGTTTGCTCACTATTAGGCAATACATTATTTACTACCCTTTCGTATTTATTTTTTTCCTATATTTTTTGCCTGTGAAGTTTTAAAAACATAAATGAAATTTAATGTTCTGCAGCTTGATTTCTCACTCAGCAGTGAGAACTTTTCCTATCAGCACATAAAGATATACTGCGTCTTTCAACATCTGCAGAGGGCTCTCTCTGTGGATCTGCAGTGTTGGATTTCTGTCAAATGCTTTTTCTGTGTTCATTGAGGTGATCGTGTGTGTGTTTTTTTCCCCTTTATTCTAGTAATATATATATTTCACTGATTGGTTTTTGTATATTAAACCAACCTTGCATTCCTGGGATAAATCCCAGTTGATCATGGTGTGAACCATCTCCTTCATTTGGCTTTGAGGATGTCACTCCCTTTGGCACTCCTACCTCACTGAACATTCCTTCTCAAGTCCCTACACTGGTTTCTTACACAGAAACCAAGAGAAAGAAGGAGGGGGGAAAAGTTGATGCAGGATATGAGTGAACGAGAAGTAGAAAATGTCATCAATGGGAAGTTACATGTGGCTCAAAAGTCTAAAGATTAGACTTTTGAGAAGGCATGTGAAAAGTAGAACCCTCTGAGACCTCTCGGTAGTGCGTCAATCTGAAACCTAGTGGGAAACATTAGGCAGTTTTGTTAAATTGACTTATTTGTTTATGGCACATATAATATATAATAGGTGCTATCAGTTTTAATCACCACATATTTTCTTGAATTTCTAGGCTTTTGCAGACATGCTAAAAGTGAACAAAACTTTAAAGAGCTTAAATATGGAGTCCAACTTTATTACAGGAACTGGAATTCTAGCAGTGATTGATGCTTTAAGAGATAATGAGACCCTGGCAGAGCTCAAGGTTGATAATCAGGTCAGTGATAGCAACTTTGAGAAAGCAGAAACTTCCACTGCGGAGTAGGGCTCAGGGACTCCAGAGGAGGCTGGGAGGAGGGGTGTTGGGGAGCTCTATGTAAGATGGGGAGCTGAGAAGGGCATTTGGAGAGCTAGAATGTTAATATCTGTAGAAGTATACACAAAGCATTCATTCCTAAGTCATTTCAAGCCAGTTTAAATTTACATGGCCATCCATTGTGAACTGAAAGAACTCTTTTTTCTTAGAGGTGTTTTTGCTTTAGGACACGTGTGTTCACCAGTGAGATAGAGACAATGAGAGGGAAAGTAAGAAATTAACCCTCAGGGGAAATGGCCATGCCACAATCCCTTCTCCATTCTTCTCCTTGAATCTTGGGCATGCACACATACCAGTGTCAGTTTCAAGCTATCAGGTCCAGGACTCAAACTATGGTCAGCTATGTAGGAGTCCAGTGACATAACCACTACACATCTGCTCTCCCCAAGCAACTCTTTCTTACATGTGACTTAGTCAGTCCCCTAATTTTTCACCTCTGTGGTGGCAAGATCCACACTGTGGACTTTTGGTATTTCTGTTAGGTCATCGGGAAAGCCATGATGTATTTTTCTGTGCAAAAATCGTGGCCCAGTAGTACATGACAGTCTTGAACACAGTAGATGAATAGGTTGAATGAAAGAACAGAACATTGTAATGCCCAGCTGGTGAGGACTCTGTCTTCTGTCCCGCCAAATACAGTGCTAAGACATATGATAACTCTGAGCCACCCTTTCCCAGATGAACTTCCTTTTAGAGATAGAGTCTTGCCATGTTACCCAAGCTGGCCTTGAACTCACGATCTTCCTACCTCAGCCTCACAAGTGGCTGGGATTATAGGTATGTACCACCATGCCTAGCCCAGATTAATCCACACTTTTTTGATATCTGTGTGATTATATACAGAACTGTGAAGTTTTGTTTCTCATACATATGCTGTGTTGGAATTGGGAAAATTTAAATAGACTGACAGAATCAGCATGTGCCTGAATGTAATGTATCTTGAAAAGTATTTTCATCTACTTTACTTTACTAATACTGTATTTTATTTCTGATTCTTTCAGAGGCAGCAGTTGGGGACAGCTGTAGAATTGGAAATGGCCAACATGCTCGAGGAAAATACAAATATCCTTAAATTTGGATATCAGTTTACACAGCAGGGACCCCGAACCAGAGCAGCTAATGCTATAACAAAAAACAATGACTTAGGTAAGGCATGTGCAACATCTCATGAGTTTCCAAATAATATCAATAAGCTAACGTACCAGGGAACTTTTTTTATGTTTGAAAACAATTTTTTGGGGAGAGGTTTCTGCTATAGGGCGCGTGCACTCACCAGAAAGACAGAGACAGACAGAGAGAGAGAAGGCGAGAAATCATGCCCCCGGGGGGATGGCCACACCGCATTCCCTTCTCTTCCATTCTCCTCTTGGGATCTTGGCCACACACATACACATGCCCAATGTGAGTTCAAGCCACCGGGTCCGGGAATCGAACCGCTGTCAACTACATGTGAGTCCAGCGACATAGCCATTACACCAACTACTGGTCCCGAAAACAAATTTCTAACAATGAAATTATGTAGTCTTCGTTTCTGAAATCTGCACAACCCGTTGTAGTAATTGAATTAACTTTAAATGAGGTTGTAGCAATCATCAAATCAGTGGGCAAAATCAGATGTTGTGACAAACGTTTCATAGTTTTAAGTGAACAGCTTCTACAACAAATATTTTGTTCTTACTCTATGTTTGTTTGAATATCTTATTTGTAGATTAGTCCTTTGAGTTATTAAAGATTTCCACACTAAAGGAAAGTTTTTAGCTCTTTTTATTGACAAATAGAAATTTCATTTTATCTGATTAAATATAAAATAATTATAGTTTCAGGGCCTACAGGTGCATAGCAGGTAAGGCACTGAACTCCCTCATGGCCAACTACGGTTCAAGCCCTGGACCTATAGTTTGAAAATCATGCCCAGCACATGTGCGTGTGTGCATGTGTGCATGTCTACCCAGAATCCCAAGAGGAGAATGGAGGAGAAGAGATTGCAACGTGGCCATCCCCCACAGTGGGTGATTTCTCACTTTCCCTCACTCTGTATTTCTCTGGCAAGCACATGTACCCTAAAGGCAAAAAAAAATTAAATTAAATTAAAATAATAAAATAATGTGTTTAAGATTTTTGCTATAGGGCATGTGCACTCACTGGAGAGAGAGGGAAAGTGAGTATGGCCACACTGCAATCCTTTCTCCATTTTTGTCTTGTGATTTTGGGCATGCGTGCAAATGCACCCAGTGTCTTTTGCAAGCTGCTAGGTCTGGGATTTGAACCGCAGAGTGGGCCATGTGGGATTCAGCATCTTAACCACCAACCTACCTGCTGACCCTAGAATAATTATAGCAATTCTTTTTTTTAAGAGATTTTTGCTATAGGGTACGTGTGCTTGCTAGAGAGACAGCAGTAAATCACAACCCAGGGGGGACGGCCACACCACAGTCTCTTCTCCATTCTCCTCTCAGGATCTTGAGAACTCATGCATACACGCCTGGCATGAGTTTTAAGCTGCCAGGTCAGGGACTTGAACCTCAATCAACTATAATGTGGGAGTTTAGTGACATAACCACTAGGCCATCTGCTGGTCCCAATATACAAGTCTTACCAGTATCTTTTTTTTTTTTTTTTATAACCATTAAGGGCAATTTATCTTCACACTGTAAACATCTAGAGCCGGAATCTACCATTAATTCATGACTCTTGTTAAACTACTGAGGCTTGTGACTTCTGTTTGAAATAAATTTAAGTTTTGATGTTTGTTATGGAAGAATTTCCCAGATCGCTGTGAAAAGTATTAGTTCAAAGTCTCTGTCTTCTGTGTGAATGTAGTTTTCCATACGAGATTTTAACCATTTGCTTATTAAAAGAGGAAATCTGTATGTTTCGGGGTATTGTTGATCTAAATGTACTTTGAGTCATGTTAGTTGTTTTTTGTATTAGTTCGTTAGGTCGCTTCTATTTTTTCCTTCAGGTTAATGGATTTTGGTTTTTAGAGCAGTGTTCTCAAGTCTGGTTAAACTTCATAAGCAATTAGAGAGCTTTAAAAACATGTTATTGGCTGTTCTTCCCTGAGAGATTCTGATTTAGTCAGGCTAGGGTGAAATTTGAGCATCGGGACTTTTTTTGCCCTTCTTACCTCCATAAGCAAAAGACAGGCACCCTCAACAGTGTCCTGAGGACGTAACACGCCCCTAGCCACGGCCAGCCCTGTATCATGAGCCGCTCACATGCTCGGTGTGTTCAGGGAGGTCTCCAGATGCGAACCCAGAACCTGCCTGTGTGGGTCGGCCTCACGGTGTTGCATTATCATGACACTACTGTCAGGCCCTGGCTTTGGGTTTTTAACAAGTCCTCCAACTAAATCCGTTGTAAGCAGCTCACACTAGTCCACCCCTGGCCTGTCTCTCTGACTTTAATGGATATCTGCATTTGAGTTCATTGTTGTCATTCACCTTGAGCAGGTGTGCTCCCATATGCCCTCCACTTGTCACATTATTTGTCACCCTTTTAAAATCACCTTGTACTTACTAAATTAGTTCAATTTAATTGTAAGAGTCTATTTTCAAAGACTAAGCTTTTTGAGGACAGGGCCCATGTTGTTGACAGGTGCATGTCCAGCTGTTGAACCACCTTTATTAAAGCCATGCCTGGCACAGAGTAGGCACTTACTAAAAATGTATTAAGTGAATAATAATACAGTGGGGAGGATCTAACCCTGCCCCAAATGACAAGTTCTGGTAACTAACCACCAAGCTGGAAGTATCCTTCGTTTTTCCTCCCCTCCGAAACTGTCTTAACGAGTCCCCAAATCCCACCAACGAACGTGTAGCCCCAACCATGTCCGTCACTTATGCCCTTCCCAGCAGGTGCTGCACTGTGAATGCCCCCATGATTGTCATGGCAGGGCTGTCAGTCTGGGCGAGAGCCCTCCAGGTTGTGCCCTTCTGCCAAGCCTATTGTGGCAGACACTTGGCCCACGTTCCTGTACGGAAAGAACTGTCCCGTATGAGAGCAAGGAAGGTTTCGGCATATAGAGGGTGAGGGGGACTGATGGAGACCATTTCCTAGGCCGCTGTATGTTGAGACACTGTCCCCGGACCTCCGTGTGTTAGAGGGTGAGAAGGCCCCGTGGCACCAGCTGTGGTCTGCAACACAGCAGTGCTGAGAGGAAGCCCGCTGCTCAGTGCTGGGGCCTCAGCTTCCCCCTCCTGGGTTTCACTCTAGTCCAGACTTGATTTTTACACATGGGTCTCAGGCATGAGGTGATGGCCAGGAGATTACTGGAGGGCGAATTGCATGGATAAAAGCTTAAATTTAAGAACAAGCAAGTTATTTATTTGCTGGAGACAACCTGCAGATTTAAAGAACTGACTTTTTTTATTTGGAGAGATTTTTTGCTATAGGGTGCGTGCGCTCTCCAGAAAGACAGAGAGACAGAAAGTGAGAAATCACCCCCCAGGGGGCATGGCCACGCTGCAATCCCTTCTCCTCCATTCTCGTCTCAGGATCTTGGGCACGCACACACACATGCCCAGTGTGAGTTTAAGCCGCAAGGTCCGGGACACTAACCGCAGTTAACTACATGGGAGTCCAGCAACATAGCCATTATACCACCCGCTGGTCCCAAGAACTGACTTTTTTTTTTTTTGGAGAGGTTTTTGCTATAGGGCACATGTGCTCGCCAGACAGAGAGGGACAGAGAGACAGAAAGTGAGAAATCACCCCCAGGGGTATGGCCACGCCGTGATCCCTTCCCCTCCATTCTCCTCTCAGGATCTTGAGCACACACACACACA